TTCTACTGGAGTCACAGTCTCAGAAACCCACAGGGGGTCGCTTTGAGCTAGGATTGACTCCAGGCAGTGAGGTTTTTGTTTTTGAGTACAGTCCTGCAGTGAGGTTTTTGTTTTTGAGTACAGTCCTAGGCCCCGCCCACGCCCAAAGCACGCTGCTGCAAGCCCCGCCCACGCCCAAAGCACGCTGCTGCAGGCCCCGCCCATGTCTCTCACGAAGCGAAGCGCGGCGTTGGGTTCCCGCCTCAGCTCTTCGTCCTAGTGCCAGGCCTGCTGTTTATTTTCCCGCCTTTTCCCGCTCTTCGTGAGAAGAATTCAGTGATTTTGGTGAGAGCGTAGGTTTTCTGGGATCACGGCAGCCCAACGGGTACTGAGCATAGCTAGAAACAGGAGCTTCAGGGAACCTTGAGCTCCCCTGAATCCCGTCAGGACTTGGAAACAGACGCGTGGCGTTGCCTCAGGCACGTGTGGCCGGCCCTCCCACAGCTAACGGCCTTGGTCATTCTCGGGCCCCTTTGGTTGACATTATTGCTCCCCGGGCCTTCACTAGCCCTCCCACGCTTCCTCGAACAGGTCGGGGTTTTGTTGAACGCTTAGTCAGTACATGTTATCATGTAAACGGTGAAGATGTGACACAAAGTAGCTATTGTTCATCTAGGTTTGAAACCTCTACACTAACCACCTTCATAGGTTTTTTTTAAAAAAGGAAAAAAATTAGATGGGAAAAAAATGTTACCTTCTGTTTTCACTATGTTCCCAGTTTCATTTTAAAGGATATCAAATTAATGGTATCCTTAAATAGCATATTTATAAAATTAGAAATTCAGAAACGTATGTAATTATTGCTCTGTTCTCTATTTTTGATAAGCCGTTTTATCCACTTCAAAATCTCACAGAGTCACATTTACTGAGTTATGCGTTTAGCAATTACATGAAACTGGTGTTGTCTAACCCAAAGGCTGGCTTCCTGCGGTAGCAAGAACTTTTCATGGAATGTTGGCTTCCGTTCTCATTCCGGAGCTACCTCTTCACCAATATTGAGCGAGGGACAAGTCATTTTGTTTCAGGGAGCATCAGGCACATCTTTTGAAAAACCTACGGATTAAGCAAAACAGGAAGTGAGTGTACGGCCCCTTCAGATTTATAATTCTGAGTTTCTGTAGAGGGGGTGGGAACATGCACAAACTGAAACCACACTATCATTCCCATTCTTGCTGTTTCCCTTACGTAAAATGTATTCCAACTGGCTACTATGTCTTCCACTTGTACCATGTCAAAGGAAGCCATTAGGAAAGAAATGGTTTGCTTAAAAAGTTTACAAATGGATATATTAATTAATACCGAAAATTTGGGGGGATGCTAAAACAATACACATACATTCCCATAATGCTATCACTCAAAAAAATTAAAAAACCCACTATGCTCCTATTTTTCAAATGTATGTATTTTTAATTTAAATGTACATCTCTATATAAACACAATCTGCAGTCTTCTTTTTTCCCTCCAGAGATCTACATATATTCTTCCTTACAACCTTCTACAGTACATAAAACATTAAAGTGAAAGATCCCCAATAATATGCCCATATTCCAGTAAGATACCAGAAGCTTAGTAAACATCATTATATGGGCTAGAGAACAGCTGTAATTTTTATATTAATCTAGGTTATTCTTACTCTTTATCTGCTGCAGAATGGATTGGTTTCACTGCAACCAGTGTTTCCGAAAAGATGGGACTCATTTCTTTATCAGCAACTGTGGCCATATCTTTTGTAAAAAGTGTGTGACTCTAGGTAAGTAGCTGTTTTAAGATTCGGGCAAAAATATTTTTAATTTAGAAATCATGACTTACCACTTCTCTGTATGACTTGCTGTAAAGATGCTATAGCAGTCCAATCAATGAGAATGTGGGTAATGTGGGAAACTGTTGATTTTGAAAATTGGAGGATTCCATTAATCAAAAAAATAATTTAGCAAATGAAATATATTATTCCTGAGTGCCAAAAGGAATTCTGTGACAAAGAAAGCCACAAGGCATCAGAATGACTAGGTGAGAGAGAAAGAGAATATTAACTAGGCATGAGAGGGAAGTTTAGCTATCAAGAACCTTTTCTAGTGGGGAGTAGTTTAGCCCATGAAATCAATTTGATTATAAATAGCAGTGGTGGTGGTGATATTTTTGTGACTTGAAAGGCATTTTCACATGTTAATTTTAAATGCGATGCCCCTCCAGCCCCAGGAAGTCATTCTTCACAGACCCGTTTTACAGAAGGAAGAAAGAGGTGCAGTAGACACAAGAGACTTGACCAAATTCTCATAGCTATTAAGTCTTAGAAATGGGACTTGAAGTTAAGGGTTTGTTTTATGCTAAAATATTTGACAAGGTAAGGAAATAGCTCAGAAGAGGGACCTAGGATAGGGTCCTTTGATCAGGGAAGATTCTAGAAGAGACCCTACTTCAGTAGGGTTTTTGAATGATAAACTGGTGTTTGCCAAGTGGCCGAATCAGGGAAAAGTATTCTAGCTGAAGAGAACTATATATGTAAAGGTGAGTGGAAGGATGAGACAGTCAGGAGTGGCAGATAGAGCACAAAGAGTTCATGTAAGAAAAGGTGAGGGACGAGACTAGTCAGGCAGTGCCTAGAGCAGTGGTTCTCAACCTTCCTAATGCCGCAACCCTTTCATACAGTTCCTAATGTTGTGGTGACCCCCAACCATAAAATTATTTTCATTGCTACTTCATAACTGTAATTTTGGTGTTGTTATGAATCGGGCAACCCCTGTGAAAGGGGCGTTCGATCCCAAAAGGGCCTGAGACCCACAGGTTGAGAACCACAGGCCTAGATGATAGAATTCTATACAGTGAACCCTCGCCACTTCACGCTTCGACTTCCGCGGCTTCACTCTATCACGGTTTTTGCGTAACAGCGCATGCTCTGTCATTACTGCCACTGATTGGCTCATACTGTACACGCTTCTGTCTGCATCACTACGTATCGGAGCTACGTATCAGATGCATTTTTGCTTTTGTACAGTGTACTGTATTTGTTTGCGATTTTTAAGAAATTTTATCTAAGCCCTATGATGGCTCCTAAACGAGCTGCTTCTTCTAAGCCTTCTGACAATAAAAATAAGCGCCAGAGGAAGATGCTCACCATCCAGGAAAAGGTAAAACTTTTGGATATGATCAAAGATGGCAAGAAAATCGTGGAGGTTGCACGCCATTTCGACTTGAATGAGTCTTCCGTTCGCTCCATCCGTAAAGAGGAAAAAAACATCCGTGCTACGGCTACTTTCACTTTCAACAAGGAAGCAAAGTGCATCGTGACAAGTCATAATACAGTAAACTAGATGCCATAAATAATATAATAAATAATAAATGATAATTGTAACTTCCAAAATGTTTTACTGTATTTTCCCTTTTTCGTTTAATAAATTGGGTAATACGAGTGTAATGGTGACTAAAGGGTGTTTTTTCATGTCCTCTATGCTCTAACTATGAAAATATTTGATTTACAAATAAGGAATCCTACTTCACGGAATTTCATTTATCACGGTAGGGTCTAGAACCGATTAACCGCGATAAACGAGGGTTCACTGTATATACCAGACTAAAGAATCTAAGCTTAAAAAAAAATCTAAACTTTATTCTCTTAAGTGATGGAGAGCTTTGTAATTTTGTGTGTTCTGTTTTCTTAAATAGAGAAATTGTTCACACTTGATAGCGCACTCTAGCAATAATATGGAGGACTGGCTGGGAAAGCAGCTTTAGTCTCTAAGGAAACATAGCCTCTGCAGAAGCTTCCCTCGATCTGAATTTCCGATGCTTCTAAGCTGTCTGTGAATGCAGCAAAGCCGGTTACTAAGATAATAGCAGTTCACTCGGAGTGGTTTGTCTCTGCAAAACCACGTATGTCATGTGACATATCCCACTGACATGTCATGTAAGCAATAACCAGTGCTGCTTCTGAAATTTCACATTATAAGAAAAGATTAGGAATTTTCATTTTTACGTCTTTCAGACTGAGTTCATTGCAACATGAGAGTGGCAAGATCTAGGAATAGTAACACAGTGTGAACAGGACGGGCATAATTGAGGAGCTTGAGTACCCATTGTGTGCTGGCTGTCAGGTAGATAAGACAGCAGAGAGTAATTTCAAGTTGACATAACTGGTACTCATACTCTTTTACTTCTCCCAGGGAGCCCTGGTGCTACTGCCAGTTAAGCATTGCTAGCCACAAGGTCAAGGGGTTCAAACCCGCCAGATGCTCCTCAGGAGAAAAATGAGGCTATCTGCCCCTGTAAAGTTTTACACCCTCAGACACCCAATGTAGCTCTGAGTTGAAATTGACTCAATGGCAGTGGGCTTTTACTCTTCCCAGTGCTTTCATATTCCCAGTAGCGAAGTGGTTATGTGTTGGGTTGGAATCTACAAGGTCCATAGTTCAAAACCAGTAGTTGCTCCTCAGGAGAAGGATGGGTCTTTCTACTTCTGTAAACGCATACAGTCTCAGAAACTCACAGGGGCAGTTCTACCCTATTCAGCAGGCTCACTATGAGTCAGCATTGGTGTGGAGGCAGTGAGTTTGCTTTGGGTGCATGAGATGAAGGGGGTGTGAGGGTTCTAGTTAGAATTGCCCTTCCCGCATAGAAGAAAAGTGGGTATTTAAAAAGAGAAGGAAAGATACAGCCTTATTTGTCTTCACTCTACAAGCTTAGAAGTACTGATTTAGAAAACAGTTTAAGTTGATGTCTTTATATAGCGCAATGATATTCTAAATTCAGTAACAACGGCTATAACATAATGACCTTGTGCTCATGAGAACCAAACGTTTTCCCTCCTAGAAAAATGTGCGGTTTGTGGAATTGCTTGCAAGCATCTGGCTGTTTCTGATCAAGTAAGTTTTTATCCCCCCGCCACAAACAATCTCATCCCATTCCTGGCCTGCGGGACATATACTCAAAGTGCACTCAAAGTACAGATGATGAGTAAGTAAGCACTGAAATTGTTTTTAAAGAAAGGAAAGAAGCAAAATGCACAGACAGTAGTTGTAGAAAACAAGAGGGCATGTAACAGATAGAATAATTATTTGTGGGCACTGTTACAGAACCGTGAGGTAAGGAGAATTAGAGCAGGCAATCTGCATCTCCCACCGCAGGAAGGAATACCAGGCACTTTTGAAAGAATGGTACTCCATTCCATTGAGGATGTGCTCATTGTTCTCTTTCTCTCCTCATAGCTAAAGCCTCAGGAGAAGATGTTCTTCAAAAGCCCCGTGGAGACAACTTTGCAGCATTTTAGTCACATCTCTCAGGTATACAGACCGAAAGTGAAGAAAATCTGATTCCCTAGGCAAATTTTATTCGCATCTTAGTCCTTTATGAAAGGCTCTTTTTAGACTGCATTTGTACACAATGGGGGAGGAATTGGCTGTTCTGTTTACTTTCTCCCCTGATGGTACACATCTCAACTGGTTAACTTTATACTAGCTCGGGATCTGTTTAAAGCCTGTAAAACCCCTATGGGGGCTTCCAGTTTGCCTTATACAACTTAATTCTGTTAAGTGAATTTAGAGGATAAAGGAGATTTCAAGAATCTTTATTACCTTCCTGTGCAGATAGCTACATCTTCTAAAGCTTGCTTTGCGTTGATAGCCCTAAACCTAAAAACAGCAGATTCAACTATCATCCTTAGGTTTAACTAATCGGTTTAACTGTCACTTTCCCCTTCATAGACATGTTCTTGAAGGAATTTCGTGCTCCTCACTCTCATTTTTTAATAGCCACTCTTGGGCATGCACATGTCTATATGTTTTCTCATTTAGTGTTCACTACTGGTTGCCTGAATTTTACCACAATCATACCTTTGACTTCACCTTGGGCTTAGTCAGGAACAGTAGGAAAGTAGAAGGCAGATAAAAGTTAGGCTAATTACTTGAGAGAGTTCCCAAATTGTAAACACTCCGATTTTCTCCTTTAACACTCTAGTTCTCCACTGTGATGATTTTATAGTCTTAGGGGTGTCCTGTCTGTGTATGCTTTTTTGAGGATTTATCGGTTTTTCTCTTTATTCGTAGTACTTCTCATTCTTATTGGGCTACTTCTTTCTTAAACATGAAGATGGCCCTTAGTTGTTGTTTGGATAAAGATAGTAAATGTAATTTTTGTGCAGACCTAATTCTGGAATTGAGGAAGGGGAGTTGAGCTACACGGGTGAGCAATCATATTTGAGATAACATGCTTAACATTTTGGGAAGATAAAGCCCAGCTGAGATTCAAGGAGAAATGTAAACAAGGACACATGAACAAGAGAAAGCAGACCTTTGGTTAATAACTAGCCCCAGGGTTAGTTAATGATCAGCAGAGAAATCATATGTAGTCTGAATCTTAACCTGCCTAATCACGGGACCAATTATACATGGTCAAATAATCCAGATAAATAAATGGAAAGGGTCAGTTAATCATCACTTTAGTGAAGGCGCAGTTTGGTAAAGTCAGCAAAGTTGAAAATGTGTTTTCCTAATCTGTGAGATTGAGTGATTGATCGAAGTATTATCTAAATTGCTTCGCTGAGGCTTGCCCCATTTTCTTTCCTGAGTCTCATCATCTCTCATCACATAATGGCCCTGGTGCCGCTTTCTACTCCTTACCCTGCTTTGTTTTTCATTGTCATTCTTATTTATCTGGAACATTACTGTCTGAATCCTGTGCTCAGGTATAAGCTCCATGAAGGCAGAGTTTAGTCTTTTTTTTATTTTATTGCTGTATCTCCAGTTCTTGAAAGAGTTTTTAGTACATTGTAGACACTCAAAAAAAAAGTGTTTGTAAATGAGAGGAAGGTTGTCTAAATGTCCATTTGTGTTTTAAACAACCTCTAGCGTGGTAATGCCCTGACAAAAAGATGTGTTCCTGATGTGCTCAGGGGTCAGTAGCAATCAAACTGCTCGTTTTGAATTCGTTCTCCCTTTAGATAATTTGTCTAAGCATTGTGAGGGGTTGGAGAGCCCCGTCTGTATCGGCTAACTCTCTTCTATCCCTAGATCAGCAGTTTTAACCTGTGGGTCGCTACCCCTTTGGGGGTTGAGTGACCCTTTCACAGGAGTCGCCTATGAGCATCAGAAATCACATATTTCCTATGGTCTTAGGAACCGAGACACGGCTCTTCTATCCGTCTCCAGGCGGGCCCTCCCACATGCAGATATGCACACACACGAGTACCCAGAGTGAAGAGTGTTACCCATGCTACACCATGCTTCAAGACAACATTTCATTTATTTGTCATTAGAAATAAATATTTCACAAGATATAATTACATATTGTTTTTGTGATTCATCACTATGCTTTACTTATGTTCAGCTTGTAACAGTGAAAATGCATCCTGCATATCAGATACTTACATTACGATTCATAGCAGTAGCAAAATTACAGTTATGAAGTTGCAACGAAAATAATTTTATGGTTGGGGGTCACCACAACACGAGGAACTGTATGAAAGGGTTGCGGCATTAGGAAGGTTGAGAACCACTGCCCTAGATCATAGATCGCACCATTATCCACAACTGGTCAACAAATGCATATCAATAATTTCCCTTCCTTCAGTAAAGACTTCTCTGCTTCCTACAGGCATGTTTTCTCTCTTTTGGACACCTAGTCTACCTTGCTCTTAACTGCAAAAGTGTTTTATTTGAACATGTGTCTGTTTCTCTCACTAAACAAAGCTTTTCAGGGGGCAAGTATCATCTTTTATTGCCCATGCTTAACTAGGTACTAGGCACAAAGTATACAAACCCACTACCATCAAATATCTTCTGAGCCATATCCACCCTCTATAGGGTTTCAAAGCCTCTGACTCTTTACAGGCGCAAACAGCCTCATCTTTCTCCAGCGGAGCTGTTGGTGGGTTTGAGCCACTGGCCTTGTGATTAGCAACCCAGTCCCTGACCGACAGCCCCACAGGGGCTCCTTAGGTATAAATTAGGTGCATTAGGAATATTTCTTAAATGAAGGAAGAGGGGAGGGAGGAACCCTTGTGGCTCAACTGTTAACACAGTCAACTGCTAGCCTCAGGTTCAAAACCATCAGCAGTTTTGCGGGAGAAAGATATGGATGTCTTCCAGCTTTGGAACCTCTAGGGTCACTGTGAGTCAGCATCGACTCAACAGCAATGGGTTCGGTTTGGTTAAGAGGAAAGATAAGTTTAGATTTTCTTTTTAAGTGCAATGAGAAATGAAAGGATTGTAAGCAAAGAAATCTCGTTATCTGATAGACAATTTTAAAAGAACACTCAGGCTGTTGAGTGGACAATGGACCAGAGGGAATTTAAGAGAGAAATCAGAGAGACCAAGTAGGAGGCTACAACAGAAATCTAAGCAGGTGGCGAAGGCTGTCTAGGCTATAGCAGCGGCAATAGAAATAACGAAGGGTGGTTAAATTTGGGATGTGTTTTCTAGGGTTATCAAGTAGAGAGTACTGCTGATTTGACTGTGGAAGATAAGAAAGCGAGAGAAATCAAAGAAGATGCCTGGGTCTTTGTCTTGAGTTCTAGGATGGCTGTACCTGTAATCAAGTCTGTGAAGACAATTTTGGGTGGAAATACCATTTTGGACATACTAAATTTTATACAGAGTCCCTACGTAGGTGGTGCAAATAGCCAACAGGTAACTGAAAGATCGAAGGTATGAGTCCACACAGAGGCACCTTGGAAGAAACATCTGGTGGTGATCTACTTCTTAAAAAGCAGCCAGGTATAGGCCTTGGGAGCACAGTTCTACTCTGCCATGGGTTGGAATAAAATTTGTGGTTTCACCCTCTGATGACTTTTGATAAACCATGTTTAGGGTTCTTGGTTGCTTAGGTATGTTCTCCCCACCGCACCACAATCTATTTCAGTTTCAAATTTGAACTTAGAACTGCCTCATCAAAATCTTCAGTGACTTTCTCCGACCTAAGTTCTAAGCTCCTCAGAATGACATCTAGGTCCTTTTCTGATTGCTTCCTCATAGCCCCTCCAATCTCATCCCCAACTATCACGTCATATCTTATATACCAAGATATATTTTGGTTATTTATTAACTAACCTATTAGAGCTAGTTCTCAACAGTTCTCGTGTACACTATAGTTTCATGCCTCCCTCCTTGGGATGTCTGACTTCTCACCCTTCAGAGAATGGCCTAGTAACCATCTTTCATGGTTATTTTGATTCTTTGAACATACCTTTTCTATTGTACCTACGACATTGTTTGTGCTTGTTTATTGG